GCTCATAATCTGTATCTTCTCCTCATTCGCCCCTTATTGCGATACAGTCACAATTGCAGTTCCTCTTAGAGTGACTCTTAAAACCTTTATCGCGTTTAAGAGAAAAACTGCTAAGAGCATTTCTGAGCGTACGTCGTTGTTCAACTAATCTGTTTGGTTGATTCATCGTTTTTAATCCTCTTTTTTATTCGTTTTGAGTTGTTTCTTCAGACAATCATTGACCAAAGTCTCATTTCTTTGATACTGTTGAAGTTCGCCACACTGCGACCTTTCCCATGCAGTCTAGGATTATTCAAAAGGATGATACGATTACTTCCGTGATATGTTCACTTGCTGTTGATGTGAGGTACATGAGTAAATGGTGAGGAAGCGAAGGAAGCCCATGGCGGGTTCAGAAAGTAACTTATGCATGAAAAGGTCCGGATGGTCTGCTTCCCTCTAAGGTTTTCATACTTCTTTCTTCATGAATAGTTGCCCAGTGACTTCTATGCCCTTTTAGATGAGCGTATCACCCAACTCCCTAAATGTCACTGTCACGTTCGCATACGATGCTGCACATTAGTTATTCCGGAATTCTACGTGGTGCAAGCTTATGACGAATCGAACAATGCTGCTGACGTAGTGATGATCGTCTAAAGCATCGATTGCCGACCAAAGCTCAGATCGTAGGCTTCCAGAAGGGCTGTTTCCTCCTTTTTTCAAGTCCCAAATAGTCAAATGCATCTGTATCTTTCCTCCAATACGATAGAGCTGAGGTTTCTTTGTTTTTTTTTTCAAAGAGTAGATGACATCACTTGCTCAATGTATGCTGATGATATAAAAATTTACACTACCGTTGAAAACCCCGGAAAAAGTCTTGACCTACAGAAAGCCATCGATCGTGTAGTTAAGTGGTCAGGTACCTGGGAGCTCCCTCTGTCTCATGAAAAACTGTTTTCCTTCAGATCGGTCGGGATCCAGGTCATGACTATTCTTATAGTGTCAACGGTGCCAATCTCAGACGCATTTCTGATGTAAGAGACTTAGGTTTTCTGATTAATGATAAGCTCTCATTTACTGAACATTTTCGTAAGCTTGCAAAGAAAGCTAATTTCAGAATTTATAATCGCTTCAAAGCTCTCCGCACTAGGAACTGTAGCGTGTTACTGCGTGCCTATAAAACATATGTTCGTCCTATTCTTGAGAGCGATACGACTGTTTTCTCCCCATACAAAAAGAAAGACATTGATTTCTTAGAAGAATCCAGAACAATTTTACTCGTAAGCTTGTCTTGCGCTGCAGTGGCCTCAGCTACCGCTTCATTCCTAATGGGTCTGAAAGAAGAAAGCAAATCGGTTTAGCCAGCTTGTGCAATAGAAGGAAAAATTTCGATCTAGTTATGGCTTTTAAAATCCTTAGAGGTAGAACTAATCTCGTACCCTCTGATTTTTTCAGCCTTGTCACCTCTAATACTAGAGGAGGTAAAGTTAAGCTTAGGGCTCCGAATAGCAGGACTAATGTCAGATCCAACTATTTCTCTATTAGAGTGCTTGCGGACTTCAATAAATTGCTAAAAGATGATATATTCAAGCTTTCTCTAGCTGCTTTTAAGAGAGTGATTTCTAGTTAGGCTTGCCTCAAGGGTTTCCTTTTTATTTTGTTTTCCATTTTATTCTGACTATATAACAATTTTATTGCGTTCACAATCATTTGTACTTTTTCATTCTCAGTTATGTCGCATGTCATGTTGTTCTACGGAACTTGTTGTATTTGTATTCGCGCGAACTCTGTCCGCGTATCCAAATAAAAATGGTCCTGAAAGTGTACGCTGCCAGCTGAGCCACTGTCAAGTTTTCCGCGAATACTAAGAGTATTCGCGGAAAGCTTGACTAATATTCAGAGTTACAGCGTTTTGCCTTAATATGTGGTTTTGAGAACGTTTTTTCGGCTAGGTGAAAGCCTGTGGCTTCAGTGGTTTTTGAGTGAAGTTTGTCAAACTTCTAGTCTTTTTGAATAAGGATCTGTTTTCAATTGACTTTCATTTGATAACTTTCAGTTACAAAGCTTTACATTCTGACCAAATACTTTGTGGGTCATCACCCTTACATTTTTTCCTAATTACTGCATGCTTAATTAAAAGCCTAATATCCTAAGATTGACGTGCGACTTGACCAACACCGATCAGACAATATGTTGTACTACTAGGAGACGCTGGAAAAGGAACCAGCAGAGGAGCCCAATTAGACTCAAGTATTAATCACTATAGGAAGCTGATTGGTTGGGAAACTCTGTTAGATCAGAGTTTTAGTTAGATTCCACGTCCGAAAGCGAGCTCTTTGGTGTGAACGGTACTCATTCTGCTTCCTAAACAGTTCTTCATTGATTATGACCAGGCTATCCAATGTGCGAATCTCCTTCCAGCCTTCTTTTTCCATGTTCACTATATTTCCCATAATTTATGCGGTTATAAAAATTTTCCATGCGATCCCAGTGATTCATTTTTTTTCATAAGCTGCATGAATAAAAAAGTCAAGTTTTCAAGCTCTCAAGCTCTAAGTAGAACTAGCAGTATAGCAGTTTCCCCCAGATCTCATAATTTTTGCAAAAGAATGTAGATGTTCCTGATGAGATATATCTTTGGATCAGTTCCTCTCCGTCCTGTTTTTGCAATTTGATACAACTCTGAGTTTGCTGAAACATGTGGTCTTTTCTTTTAAAAATTGCAACCAGCGTTCTTTGCAGATGGAATCGGTGACATGACATGTTTCTCTTTCGCTGACGTCCTGTTATGAGATTCTTGGCATTATCTTTCCTGGAGGATTGATAACCATGGACGTTGTACAGCCATATCTATGATTTGCTTGGCATGATCTGGCTACCTTACTGTCCGATTCATGCGTTATGGCTGACGGGCTTTCAGTTGCTCTTTCGCCCAAGTCTTGAAGACCAGTCCGAGTTCTCCTTCGATTTCGCTGATCTCCCTTTTTTGGCAGAAGCCTTCGTTGCAGCGGAAAAACTACAATCCACTTACGCGGCTGGTACTCGGGTTTTGTGCTCTTTGTTAACACGAACAGGTTCCTTGACGTTTTCCCTTTTAGGAAAGCCTTATTCATTTTAAGCATAAATCAAAATCTTGCACTCATTATATGGAATGACACCTATCCCAAAGCGGAATTCCATTTTAACGAGCTTGCTTTTTACTTATTGTCATTGCATAAGCAACATGAATCTATCAACTAATAGAATTTGAACGCATGGCGCGTCCTGAAAGATGTTTTCCCTATTTGCTACCAGCTCTCCACTCTCGATAGCCGATTACTACCCAATGTAAACATAATGATTTTCTCTTAGGACGGCCCTAATTCTACCCCTTCTGTGTAATCAACCTCTTCTCAAAAAATATTCATCGATGTAGAACTTCAAAATGCCCTGCTCAAAGTCAAAGAAGTTCCACTGTCTGATCAGCCTCTGCCTTTAGAGTTTTTCCTGAATATCCACATTTTATTCCAATAATTCGCTCTTTTTGGACTTTCATGAGTTTATCCAATGAGACTTGTTCTTGACTTCAGGGTGATGATATCCTGTAATGACCGTATTGTCGTTATTTCGTATTTACTCATCCTTATCCATACCTTTGGCTTCATATTTACACATTGAGAGTATTTTCACTCTGTCGTAACATACATGTGATCGATTAATGAATGGCTTTGAACCTTCTCCTCTGCTCGAACTTCCCGAGCATCAATACTTAACCTCGTGATGTACTCGATTGCTCCTGTACGCTTATAAATTGATGCCGTGCCGTCAAGAAAACAATCTTACAATTTAAGGTCCACTGACAAACGAAGTCTTTCAATAAGAGAGATTTCAAAATGGCCTCAGCTGCTGATAAAAGTAAGTTTCTTTTTAGACTCATGTATGCTTTCAATTTTTTATTCTCATGACCGTCCTCCGCCAGAAAGCGTGTTCTGTGGAAAACTTACTAAGAACTATGCACTTTCAAGCACTTAGGAACCCCGGCATCATCAGGGGAACTTCACCGCCGAAAGGTGCTGATCGGCTTTTTCTAGATGCCCCATGCTTACTATACGATAGAGGTAGAACTCGAATGCATCTTGGGCCCGTACAATGTTGGCAGAAGGGATTCCCGTTAATACTACCTCGTCAATCATCGATTGCAGTTATCTATAAACTGGTAATGCGAAGTGACCAAACAATGAATGAAAAAAGAGCTAGGGATTTGGTTCTGGCAAGGGAAGGATCCCAAATGGTAAAGGCTGCAGAAAGCGCGGCGGGGGTGGTAGGTCAGCAGTAAGTGGGACGGTTGGCAGAGTAGCGTCGAAACTTCGTATACATTGTCCCATTTTTTCTTTCCATTCTACGAGTTGTTATTCACAAGCTGGCTGACATGGTCAGTTAAAAGGTGCTCAGCTGCAGCTTGATTTTTGACGATTTTGAAGTCTTTTTTGCCTGTTCCAACTTTCAGTTTTCAAATTATGATTAGGTACCTGAAGTCGCTTCCGGAGGGTCCAGTTGTCGCCATGTACCTTTCAAAAAGTTTATGAGCTGCTGAAGGTACTGAGGAAATCACTTGTGTAAAGAGAGTGTAAAGTGTTTGGACGCTATGGTCGATATGGTTCGCCTCCTGAGAAGAAGCGCGTGGGAAGAGTGGTGGGTAAAGCGTGGGAACAGGAAAGGGGAGTTGCGGGTTTGAGTCATGTTCCAGGCCGAACATTCTGCCTATGTCCGAGCTTGGGTTTAATAATATTCAAAGTGCATGCGGCATCGATAATCAGTAATCAGTAAAATAGATATCGCATTCATCAAACACAAAGGTATGGGTGAGCGGCGGTGAACCATCCATTTCATTCCTCTGTTGGATGGCTGTCAGTGAAACAAAACAACGAAAAAGTGCAACAAATGATTCGAGTTCCCGACAAGTCGATTGCGGAAACGCATTTCAAAACCGAATTGTTCAACGTCAAAGAATTCAGCTCCTTCTTCATGGCGTCTCTTGAGAATTGTCTTTTTCAGAGAACAATGTGATCAAGTATTCCTCATTGTTCGTGCTCGTATTACAGAACACCTCACTTGTATTATTTATGCGTTATGCAATGACTGGTAACAGGCCCAAATTTCTCAAGGTTGGTGGTAGAAAGGTTTTGCTCTTCGCCTTTACTCGCCTTTGATTTTTTAACATTTAGTTGTAGATGGCTAGATAAGGCAGTGCCAAGCGTCACATGTCAATACCAGACCTATGAAAAAGTCTTAAACTCCTGGGGCGTTGATCGGTCCCGTCCGAGGGATGCGCCCACGCACTCGATTTCCATTCAGAATCGTAGTGAATCGTACTGAATGCGTATATGGCCAATATAAAAGGTTGCCGTGGCCAATCGACGTACGATTCGGGGATCATTTAACGGGATCAGAACAATCTGTGGTATGAGATGTACTAGACTGGCTCTAGCAGTTCTGCCTTAGCATACACGGCATACATACGTAAGCCACGCAACTGACTCTTTTGGAGTTGTAAATATTCTGGTTGTAAATATTCAAATATTTCTTTAAGCTGTGCACTACGTTATAATTGCTAACGTGCGCTCAATGATCTGAAGTATCTTAAGTCTGAGAATTTTTCTTCAACTAGTTCCAATTAATTAGTGGTGAAAATTGCCTTCAGAAATGGCTTAACTTGAATCTGACCATTCCTGTCGTTCTTCTCTTTTCCAGCATGTTTTTTCACATACATCTCTACCATTTTTATTTTTTGATGACAACTCTTTACCAATCTACCGGTTCAGTCCTCCATCACTTGATGTGATTACAGGGACATTTTTGAATATGTGCTTCGCTCTTATTTTGGTTCCAGTTTGGGCTGATTTTTCCCCCATGTGGTTTTTTTTACTAGTTTTCCGATCCGAACCACAGTCGACAACCATAGAATTTTGGCAAGAAAAAAACCGAGGTTGAAGTAAAAGGACGCACTACTTGGGCAACCTTATGCCAGAACGTTAGAATGATGCGTACTGACCCCACTAGTGTAAATTTTTCCCGTGAAAAGTGAAATGTAAACTATGCACCCTTTTTGTTGATTTCTGCCCGCCGGGCCTCCCACTTTGCGAGTTCAATGCAAAAGAACTGACGTGAATAAAAAAGTGAAACCTGCCATTGTATAATAAGACAAATAAATTGCTATTGATGCATCATCACGGGAACTTATTTTTGAAAACTGTTTTTTCTCTGCCTCACCCTGCATATTGCATAACAATGCGAAAGCTGTGGATTTTCGGAATCTCCTCACTTGTTTTAACTGCTTGGATTCCATTGAAGGGCGAGTGCACGATGACAGAAAGAGCATACTAGAAAACCTCATTGAACTATAATGGTATTTTGCCAACAAGGATCCTTACGCGTACGGGACTTCTGGGTTTTTCTTAGTATATTTGCCAGAGCTCATTGTTCAGATAGCAGTTTTGGTTTACATGCTATGCCTTCAGATTTCGTTAAAGTTAACGTCTATAAAATGGTACACCAGGAGTAATACCTAATAAATGCCTAAATAAATGGGTAGGTATTTCGAGCGAGCAACGCCTATACTCACGTGGTTTTTTTGGCCATAGTAAGGGTCACGGTTGACAGTAAGGGAAAATTGCTGACTAGAAAGTGATGAGGCAGAAACAAAACAAATCAAATAGACAAAAACTTGTAAAAGAAATTGAAATTTCGGGAGCGAGCATAAAAGTTATCTCGTTAAAGGAAGGACAGAAATCGTACTGTACTGATGGGAATAGACAGTTTCACAACAAAAGTTAATTTCACATGTGGTCCTTTCCAGATCAGTGCAGATGATGGCGATCTAAAAAAGTGTTTTCATATTATGATACTTTTGAATAGGAAGTTCTCGACTAAGCGCACCTTTTGTTTTGCGAACAAAATCAACATAGCGGTCAACAGTCTAATTGTTAGACTGCTTTTCATCTCTGTTAGGAAAATTCTCAATTTGGCTAGAGTACAATGAAAATTTTTTAACTTGGCTAGAATTGAGTGGCTTGATTTTATGTCGAAAGGCAGTCTTTGGAGTATTATTCGCTCATTGTCAGCAGTATATGACAATTGTTTCAGGCGATCTCAGTGTTCTTTGCGGAAGTATTCAAATTCGTAGCTAGTGTGGTTTTAGTTTGTCTACAGGAGCGGAGTGTTGTAAAGTAAGTCGTGAACATTGTTACCCAGATTTGGTGCTTGTTTCATATATATATTCTTTAAAATCTTTCATGCTTTTCCACCAGCTGATATCAAAAGAGAAAAAGTTATCTCATTGTGTTGCTGAAATGCTACATTCACAAGGAAATTGCTGAGTTCTGATCAAAGGGACAAGATGTGTGCATTCCGAACCTTTTCCTTACTTTCCTTTCAAGTTTTACGAAATCTCCATGGCATTCATCGCGAATCATGGTGATCTGAAACGTTCACTACTTCTGTCGCGATCANNNNATCTCCATGGCATTCATGGCGAATCATGGTGATCTGAAACGTTCACTACTTCTGTCGCGATCATATTTCTTGTTAGTCTGAGACATCAGATGCGCGCTATAAACTCTACAGCCCACAAACGAGAGTGTGTAGAGTTCTGTCCAAATAAGTTGACGCCGGTTGGATTTGTGAACCGGTTGATTGTTCGTCGTTTCTCAGGCTAATCCTGCTTCATTATCATTTGAAAACGAGCGTCTCTCGGATCAGTGTCTAAAAATGTTAATTTTTGCCGGATGCGCACTGCTGAATAATATTGCGCCACGTCATCTCGATGTATACTCTATCAAGGCACAGTTCACGATCAAAATGGTTCTTGACATTTTCCTCTTCGATAAACACTGCACCATTCACAATGAAGCGCTAGGATACCGAAAAATACGTAGGAGACAGCCAGACATTTACGGACTCATAATTTCGTACAGTCCCTTCTTATTACCTTATCAGCCTTACATCTCTATTTTTGTTTGAAGATGTTGATGTGAGGTGATTAGGGGCAAAGATTTTACTGATAGAAAGCGCTAACGATTGGCAAAGGCTAATGAGAGAGGCTAGATGGCAGTAGTTCTTGTACCCACATCGAGGTACTCACTTTTATGAGTGATTTGTGATCCTTACAGCTTCGAGACGAAAAGGTTGAGGATGCGGTGGGTGGTGGCAACAGTTGGCGAGAGCTTATAAATGACGGGCTCAATCAAGCCAGTGTCACCTGAAATGTTACACTGTTTACATAAGCTGTGCCTTGACACATAGTCGTTCCAAGAGTCGGATGGGTGCTGCTGTAGACCAGAAGTGAAGGCGTTGGTAGTGATTGATAGGAGCCAATAATGTGTTGGGGAGGGAGAGTGACTGAGTTTGTTTTTATCACAAGTATGTGGAATTCCATCGGACAGTTCGAAGATATAGTATCAATCGCGATCAAGGGAATCAAGAAAAGACATCATTTCCACGGGTTGAGGAGAAAGCCTTTGGCGTTGACCATTCCCTTTTCCGAGATGCACCCCCCGCATTCAACTTCCAGTCAGAATCGTTTTGGCAGCTTGAATGCATAGGTAGCCTACATATATAAAACGCTCGGTTGAGAACTCGGAAAACGCAGCAGTTTCTTATCCGTAAACCATCTACGACCGAGAATCAATGAGCCTGGGAAAAACCAAGTACGAGATTATGTGTGGTGGTTTGCTCAGCCTTTGCAGAGAACTCCATGAAAATGAAATTAGCGTTTGACAGTTTTCACTGCAAATGATAATGAGATATAACGTTTACAACCAAATGTCATTATGCCTTCAAACATTAAGACATCAGCACAGGGCCAACCTCATTAGAGACATTCGATGGAGTAATAATACTGCCATCAAAAATTGCGAGTAAAACGAGCTATTGAGCCAATTTTTGTTATCGAAGAATGCAAAAACTTCAGAAAAGCAATTGTGTTTTCAGAGGCTTAGCTCAAATATATGATCAATTTGTACATCATTGGCGGGATGCGCTGAAAGTGCTGGTGCCAGCTGTCATCTATACAATTCAAAATTTTCTCCTTTATGTCGCAGTGGAAAACTTGCCAGCCGCTACCTACATGGTATATCCTTGCAAACTTAGTGTTCTTAGCTATCGAGAATCGAGCTTTAACAAAATGATATTTGCAGGTCACATATCAATTGAAAATCCTCACCACAGCTGTATTCACTGTGTTGGTGTTGGGAAGAAAACTGTCCATCCAACAATGGGTGTCGCTTTTCTTCTTGTTCGGTGGCGTCGCCATTGTTCAGTATGTTAGTACATTTATATATTGATGTCTTCTTATTCTTTTGGGTACCTTATGATAATGGTTTAAGAGAGTAAAAATGTTTTAGTAACGTAAATATTTAAATCTGTACAAGCTATCCAATGTGGATGCCTTGGAGTACAGCTGGCTACAGTTAGCTGCCTATGCGCAACGTGTGCGGACCTGTGTGGATGGCGTCTACAGCATCTACAAGACCGCGAAAACTCGTCCACTTTTGGGTGTGTACGTCGGCTAAAATAAGCCGGTCTTAGGGCTCTTATTCTCTACCACCCCGACAGCACTATCGTTTCCTTATTTAACGACTTGCTGTGGTTAATAAAATAAGTTTCATCGCTTGGGATATGGTTGGTTACCCAAGGAATGCGATAAAGACCCCAAATATAGTAAGTATAACTCATGACACCAGTGACACCTTGGCAATTGATCATCCAAGAATAAAATTATTTAATCCTTTTCTCATCTTTTACGATTTGTTTCTTCCTTCTATTTTGGCTACTCATTTTAGGATCAGAAAATGTCGAATGATCGAGAAAAAGCCGAACGGTTAGCAGCAGCGATGGCTGAAGCTTCAACCGACATGCCGACTATTGAAGGAGCTTTCACAAAACTCATGGTGAGAACAGGCGGAAGGCGATGAAATTGCTGGTGTATAGCTTGAAGTTTGAAGTGCGAAAAAGGGCAGCTGACTTCTTCTGAATGCCGTTTCCGAACTAATCATGATTAAATAATTATTGAAGGATACTTCATCAGAAGTGATCAACGCCACTACGCAGACTCCAGCTGTTCTGAATGGCTTGGCTCGTCCCAAACGTGAAGTTCATGAACAGAACTCAATTCTAGGTATGGGTCGGGCTGTTTACTGTTATCATGTAGCACTAATACCGACTCTAGTCGTCAAATCTGTGCGATACCACATGTAGACTAGAAACTTGCAAAGAGAAGCCTATTCAACATGCAACTTGTACGAGTAAGAATAATAATTGGATGGTTGCTGGACTCATCAAAAGTAGGTCTCTGAGTGTGAAAGCAACCAGTCCGCCATTACCAAGTCGAATCCTGCTTGTTGCGTGTAATCTGTCAAAAAGAAATGGAAAGATCTTTCAACTAGTCTTTAGCCGTAGTGAGTACCTTACCAGGTTTTTGCTTTATTCAGGATTCATAGCCGTTCTGGTCGCATGCTGTCTTTCTGGATTTGCTGGCATCTATTTCGAGAAGATTCTCAAGGGCTCTGATGTATCCATATGGATTCGGAACATCCAGCTGGCTCTCCCGTCCATCTTCTTCGCTTTACTATTCGCGTTTGTGAGTTTCATTTCTTCGAAACTGGTTTTTTCGCAAGTGTCGAGGTGCAAAGCATCCAGAATCCACGTTACGGCCAGGTGACGGTACTCAGGTCGTGCTCTGACGGATTCCATCAGCTCATTAAAAATTCCTAGGAAAATGAGAGAAAGATTCTGACGGTGAAGTTTTCTAGGTGAAAGACAATAATGTGATATTTGCCGATGGTGTCAACCCTGAAGCTGTATGGAGACGTATGCTGTTCGGATTCGATTGGGCTGTGTGGGTGACCATAGCCATCTCGGCATTCGGAGGTCTTGTAGTCGCCGTCGTCATTAAATTCGCCGACAACATTCTAAAAGTAGGCTATCGCCGTTTTTTGCCGGTGCTTCACTGGTCAATAGACGGATTCCATTAGCGATATAAGAAGGAAACATATGTAGTCTCCACGGTGTCATTTTTCCTTACGTATTATTCCTATGAGTATAACTCCCTTTCTCTTTCTCCCCGTGATTCAATTGAATTTAATAGCGCATGGAAATGATCGTATAAAAGCAAAACAACGAAGCGTAACACGAGCAGCGAAGTAAACCTTTTTGAGCCTCATCATACAGGGTGACTCACATGAAGTGTGACGGGCAATAAAAAAATCAACTCATGGGCTTCTGGGCTGGAGGAAGCGGTGATCGCTTGCGCGGAAAGGAACGCGATGAACGTCGGCTAAACCTCCCGCAGGAATGGGCACCAGCCCACAGCGCAAAGAAGATGCTGCATTGTTGTGAAACCACGCTTCCGGGTTTTTGGGGCGGAGCAGTTTTGACCTTTAAATTCCCCGATCTCAATCCTTTGGATTCTAGTGTATGGTCGATTCTGGAGCAAAAAGCCTGCGCTTTCAAACAC